GGCTGAGCTTCGGCCTCATCCCCTTCTCCCCTTTGTCCTGCAGGGCTCCGGGCGGCCGTGACCCTGCTGGAGTACCGGGGGGACCTCCAGCCCCCCGGGGGGTCCCTGCCACTCCTCTGCCGAGGGTCCAGGTTCAGTTTCGGCAGCTCTGACCTGCTCTGGATCCGCCAGAGATCCGGGCAGAGCTTGGAACACGTCGCAGGGATCAACAAGGATGGAGGCAGCAACTTTGCCCCATCAGTCAAGGGTCGGTTCAGGATCTCCAGGGACAACAGGCAGAGCTCGGTGACGCTGAGCATGAACAACCTCAAGGATGAGGATTCCGGATCCTATTTCTGTGCCAAATTTTCTGGTGCTAGTAATTGGGGTGCTGCTCCCATTTATCCTTCTGGCCTTTTCCCCGTTCCCCAGACCCTTCACCAATCCCCAGCCCCTGACCCCATTCCTGTCTCCGTGTCCCAGCTCTGAGTTGGTTCTGCCCCAAATCTCAGCTCTTGGCTCCAACGCTCAACCAAGGTCCCCAAACCTGAGTGCAAATGGTCGAGATTTGGGGAAAATGGGCCAGATTTGGTATGTGTCTGTGATTCAGATCCACCACTGAAACTCTGGGCCAGAACGGGTCCAGTCTGGGGCAATGGTTGGGATTTGAGGGCCGAGACAGAGCTCAGGGTGAAACCGGCCCTGATTTGAGGCTAGGAGATGAGATTTGGGGCCAGAGCAGGGCAGGGTTGGGACAAAGGGTCAGGAGTGGAGGGAAGGGTTGGGGCACAGGGAAAGGGAGAAAACCATAAACAATATTTGCAGCACCCCAACCAGCACCATAACCATCAGCACCCCTGGCGCAGAAATAGGATCCAGAATCGTCGTCCTCGAGGTTGTTCATGGTCAGCGTCACCGAGCTCTGCCCGTTGTCCCTGGAGATCCTGAACTGGCCCTTGAACGATGGCTTGTAGCCGGTGTCTCCACCATTGCCCCAGATCCCTGCGAGCCACTCCAGCCCCTGCCCGGGTCTCAGGCGGACCCAACACATGGCATTGCTGCCAAAACTGAAGCCAGACCCTCGGCAGAGGAGGCGCAGGGACCCCCCGGGGGGCTGGAGGTCCCCCCCACACTCCAGCAGGGTCACGGCTGCCCGGCAGAGCCCTGCGGGACAAAGGGGAGATGGGCATGGGGTGATGCAAAAGTCAGGTGGAGGTGTCCAAATAATCAATGGGTGGATTGTGGCTAATTGCAGTGTTGAAGGCACTTTACAATACTGGAAATCTCTGTTTCAGATTGGGGGCCAGACAAAGGGAGTTTGGGGAAAAACACAGTGAAGGTTTGGGGATGGGGGAGCGGCCGTGACCCCGCTGGAGTCCGGGGGAGACCTCCAGCCCCCCGGGGGTTCCCTGACGTTGCTGTGCCGAGGGTCCGGGTTCAGTTTTGGTAGTTTTGCCCTACAATGGGTCCGCCAGAGACCCGGACAGGGGCTGGAATTCGTCGCCTTCATCAGCAACACTGGTGGCGCCATCTACCATGCACCATCAGTCCAGGGTCAGTTCAGGATCTCCAGGGACAACGGGCAGAGCTCGGTGACGCTGACCATGAACAACCTCATGGATGAGGATTCCGGATCCTATTTCTGTGCCAGAAGTTGGGATGGTTGTTGTGGTCCTGCTGCTGGTAAAGACATTGATTGTGATGATGTTGGTCGCGGTGGTCTTTCCTGACTCCTCAATTTTGAGTTCCCTCATCTCCCAAAACCAGACCCTTCCCCCAAACCTCAGCCCTTGACCCTTTGTCCCAAATCTCCCCCATTTACCCCAATGGTCAGCACTGACCCCAAACCCTCCACTGCTCCTGCCCCAAAACTCAACCATTGGCCCCAAACCTTCACCCCTGGCCTCCAGTTCAGGCCTCGTCCAATCAGGGCCCGGGGAGCTGAGGGAGATTTGGGTGAAATGGGAAAAATTTGGATAAAGTCGAATGTTGGGGCAATGATGGTGGACACTGGGGGAGAAGGTCAAGAATGGGGTCAAGGGTTTGGATTTGGGGCAGGATTTGGGGATTTTGGGACATTTGGGGAGCCAGGGATGGGGGTTTGTGGCCACCACAAGCATCGTCACCATGTCCAGAGCTCCCAGAGAGGATTCCAGCCCAGCCCCAAGGAGCAGCCCCAGACACCGAGGCCGCTGAGGGAGAAGTGAAGCCCCAGGTGGGAGCAAGGGAGGGAGGGAGGAGAAGACGCTGCAATTTTGGGGCTCCGCAGCCTCCCCCCACTTCCTCCCCGGCAGCTGCCGGGGCCCGGCTGGGGCGGGAAAGGAAACAGAAAGTTCCTGGTTTTGGTCATTGTGAACATCTGTGTTTGGCAGAGGGCAGCTCAGCCTCTGGGCGCTGTGGCAGAGGAGGTCCCAGGGTCCCAATTTGGGGCCAAAGCTCAGGATTTGGGTCAAGGGTTGAGCTTTGGCCTCATGCCCATCTCCCCTTTGTCCCGCAGGGCTCCGGGTGGCCGTGACCCTGCTGGAGTTCAAGGGGGACCCCCAGCCCCCCGGGGGTTCCCTGCGCCTCCTCTGCCGAGGGTCCGGGTTCAGTTTTGGAAGCTAGGACAGGTTCTGGGTGCGCCAGAGACCCAGGAAGGGGCTGGAGTGGCTCGCGAGTATGAGCTACAATGGTGGTTGGACCGGGTACGCGCCATCGTTCAAGGGTCGGTTCACGATCTCCAGGGACAACGGGCAGAGATCAGTGATGCTGACCATGAACAAGCTCAAGGACGAGGATTCCGGATCCTATTTCTGTGGCAGAAGTGTTGTTGGTAGTGCTGGTTGGAACGCTGCTGCAGGTATTGGTCACTCTCATGTTTCGGTGGCATTCGGCCATGTTCCTGTTCCCCGGTCCCCACCTATCTCCATTCTCTGGACCCTTCCCCAAAACCCCAAGCCTGGACCCCATTCCTGTCCCCATGTCCCAATCTTGGAGTGGTTAGGCCTCAAATCCGCTCTCTGCACATTACTACAAAGTTGACTCTAACCTTAACCCTTGTCTTGAAATATCCACTTTTATAACAAGGTTTTGGGGCACAAATTGGAGATTTGGGGTCAGGAGTTGTGGTTTGGGGTCAGGGGGTGAGAACTGGGGCCGAGGCAGAGCAAGGTTCGGATCGATGGTCAAGGGCTGGGTGTGGGCTGGGGGTTTGGGGGAAGGGTCTGGGGAACGGGGACAGGGGGGACACAGAAATTGGGATGGGGACAGCAAGGCCATCGTCAATACGATGGGCACTTTCAGCCCAACCAGCACCAGCACTCTTGGCACAGAAAAAGGATCCGGAATCCTCGTCCTTGAGGTTGTTCATGGTCAGCGTCACCGAGTTCTGCCCGTTGTCCCTGGAGATCCTGAACCGGCTCTGAACCGATGGCGCGTAGTAGGGGCTGCCACCTTTGCTGATACTTGCGACTGGCTCCAGCCCCTGCCCGGGTCTCTGACGGATCCAGCCCATGGCAAAATTCCCAAAATCGAACCCGGACCCTCGGCAGAGGAGGCGCAGGGAACCCCCCGGGGAGCTGGAGGTCCCCCCCGGACTCCAGCAGGGTCACAGCCGCCCGGAGCCCTGCGGGACAAAGGGGGGATGGGGATGAGAAACCTGATTGGCTCAGGGCCTCAAAGTGGGCGTAGACAGCTGGAAAAATGTGGTGCACCCACATAGGCTGGACACCATGAGCAGGAGGAAAAGGAATTAATGTCAAATTTGAGGCCAAAATTAATAATGTTGGGGTCAATGTTTCAGCTTTGGCCTCATCCCGATCTCCCCTTTGTCCTGTAGAGCTCTGGGCAGGCCGTGACCCTGCTGGAGTTCGGGGGCGACCTCCAGCCCCCCGGGGGCTCCCTGACATTGCTGTGCCGAGGGTCCGGGTTCGATTTTGGGAGTTCTCAAATGCTCTGGATCTGTCAGAGACCCGGGCAGGGTCTGGAGTGGCTCGCTGGGATCAGCAGCAGTGGTTCCAACACCGTCTACGCGCCATCGTCAAGGGCCGGTTCACGATCTCGAGGGACAACGGGCAGAGCTCGGTGATGCTGATCATGAACAACCTCAAGGACGAGGATTCCGGATCCTATTTCTGTGCCAAGAATGCTCATAGTGCTTACTATAATCACGCTGCTGCTTATCGTTTTACCCTATCTCTGTCCACAAGGTCTCCCCTGTCCCCGTTCCCCAGACCCTTTTCCCAAATTCCTGCCCTGACCCCATTCCTGTCACCGTGCCCCAACCCTGCTCTGGCTCTGCCCCACATTCCCAGCTCCTGGCCGCACACCTCAGCTCGGGGCCCACTCGGGGCCATTTTGGCTGCTGGGCTGGCCCTGGCCCCTCTGCCAGGATCCCTGGGCTGAACTCGCCCAGCTCTGCCCAAATCTGCGCTGCTGGCCCCGAGTAGCCACCACTGACACATATCCCAAAATCCGACCCAAATCGGGGCCCTGGGCCCCAAACCCCGACTGGCAGAGCAAAGTTTTGGGGCACAAAGAGGAGATTTGGGTTCAGGAGTTGTGGTTTGGGGTCAGCAGGTGAGAACTGGGGCTGAGGCAGAACAAGGTTGGGATCAATGGTCAAGGGCTGGGTGTGGGCTGGGGGTGTGGGGGAAGGATCTGGGCAAGGGGGACAGGAGGGGATTAGGAGATGGGGATGGGGTCAGCACAGGCATTGTGAACATACCTAGCACCAATATTCCAACCATCATAATCAGTTTTGGCACAGAAATAGGATCCAGAATCCTCGTCCTTGAGGTTGTTCATGGTCAGCGTCACCGAGCTCTGTGCGTCGTCACTCACCATCGTGAACCGGCCCTTGACCGAATCTGCATACCAGGTGCCACTTCTTCGACTGATCCTTGCGACCAATTCCAGCCTCTGCCCGGGTCTCTGGCGGATCCAGCCAACCCCAAATTTCCCAAAATCAAACCCGGACCCTCGGCAGAGGAGGCGCAGGGAACCCCCAGGGGGCTGGAGGTCCCCCCCGGACTCCAGCAGGGTCACGGCCGACCGGAGGCCTGCGGGACAAAGGGGAGATGGGGATGAGATATCAGACTTCTTAAGAGCCTTCAAGTCGGTGTGGCCAGCTGGAAAACATGAAGGGACCCATCTGGGAGGAGGATGATGAACTCCAGGGGTCCCAATTTGGGGCCAATAGTCAGGATGTGGGTCAAGGGTTAAGCTTTGGCCCCATCCCCATCTCCCCTTTGTCCCGCAGGGCTCAGGGCGGCCGTGACCCTGCTGGAGTGCGGGGGGGACCTCCAGCCCCCTGGGGACTCCCTGCGCCTCCTCTGCCAAGGGTCCGGGTTCAGTTTTTGGGATCATGGAATGTTCTGGATCCACCAGAGAACTGGGCAGGGGTTGGAGCCAGTCGCAAGTATCAGCAAAAGTGGCAGCGCCTACTACGCACCGTCAGTCAAGGGCCGGTTCACGATCTCCAGGGACAACGGGCAGAGCTCGGTGATGCTGGCCATGAACAACCTCCAGGACGAGGATTCCAGATCCTATTTCTGTGTCAAACATGCTGCTAGTGGTTGTTGCAGTCCTGGTGCTTATAGTGAAGGTGACAGTTGTGGGTCCACCCCCCTCTCAGTGTCTCCCCCTGTCCCCAAACCGAGACACTTCCCCCAAACCTCACCCATTGAATCAGCCCTTGACCCTTTGTCACCATCTGCACCAATGGTCTGTACTGACCCCAAACCCTCCCCTGCTCCTGCCCCAACACACAACCATTGGCCCCAAAACTTCACCCCTGGGCTCCAGTTCAGGCCTCCTCCAAGCAGGGCCCGGGAACTGGGGGAGATTTGGGTGAAATGGGCAAAACTGGGGGAAAGTCGAGAGTTGGGCAGCAGGGGCAGAGTTTGGGGGGAAAAGGGCTGAGATTTCAGAAGAAGGGCTGGGATTTTCGGGAAGGATCAGAGAATTTTTGATACTTGGGAACACAGAAAAAAGGGCTTGGGACCACAACCACAATAACACCATAAGCATAAGCACCATTACCACAGTCACTCCTGTAACATTTGGCACAGAAATAGGATCCGGAATCCTCGTCCTTGAGGTTGTTCATGGTCAGCGTCACCGAACTCTGCCCATTCTCCCTGGAGATCCTGAACCGGCCATAGAATGACGGCGCGTAGTTGGTGTAAGCACCATTGTAGTAGATCCTTGCGACAAATTCCAGCACCTGCCCGGGTGTCTAGCGCACCCGGTTCATGTCATAGCTCCAAAAATTGAACCCGGCCCCGAGGCAGAGGAGGCGCAGGGAGCCCCCAGGTGGCTGCAGGTCCCCCCCGCACTCCAGCAGGGTCACGACCGCCCGGAGCCCTGCGGGACAAAGGGGAGATGTGGATGGGGCCAAAGCTCAACCCTTGACCCAAATCCTGACCCTTGGCCCCAAACTGGGATCTTTAGAGTTCATCATCCTCCTCACAGGTGGATTCCACCCCTTTTTCCAGCTGGCCACACCAACTTAAGGGCCCTTGACCAATCAGGTTTCTCATTTCCGTAGACCCCTCCCCAATCCCCAGCCCTGACCCCATTCCTGTCCCCGTGTCCCAGCTCTGAACTGGTTCTGCCCCAATCTCAGCTCTTGGCCCCAAACCTCAGCTCTGGGCTCCACGTCCCAACCAAATTCCCCAGAACTGACGGGGATGTCCCAGATCCGGCCCCACCGTGTCAATCTGCCTTTGCATTGTGTGATTGGCCACAAACCTATGGCGGTGAGCTGCGCCATCGAGTTCTGTGAGTGCTGCCGGGGCCATGAGCTGCCGGCACCTCCCCATGGCCACAGTCCGGTCAGGAGAGTGATGGTGGGAAATCAAACGGCTCCAGAGGGGTCCCCAAAGCCACGGCCCGGTGGGGATTGGGACAGAGACCCCCGGGCAGGGATGGGCCCAGGGCTGAGGATTGGGGACTTGTTGGGGGTTTGAGGACAGGAGGGGACACTGAGATGGCTGCATGGATCCACCACTGGGGTCTTCACCATAAGCAGCAGGATCCCAAGCACCAGCATAACGAGATTTGGCACAGAAATAGGATCCGGAATCCTCGTCCTTGAGGTTGTTCATGGTCAGCGTCACCGAGCTCTGCCCGTTGTCCCTAGAGATCGTGACCCGGCCCTTGACCGACGGCGCATAGTAGATGGTGCCACCAACGCTGCTGATACTTGCGAGCCACTCCAGCCCCTGCCCAGGTCTCTGACGGACCCAGTAAATTTCAGAACTGCCAAAATCGAACCCGGACCCTCGGCAAAAAAGGCACAGGGACCCCCCGGGGGGCTGGAGGTGCCCCCCGCACTCCAGCAGGGTCACGGCCGCCCGGAGCCCTGCGGGACAAAGGGGAGATTGGCATGAGGGAAAAAGTCCACCCAAATGTTGATTCCTGCATGCAGATCCTGGTGTTGGCCCCAAATTGTGGAACTTTCTCCTCCTCCTGATCCTGCTGGCCCTCCCAGGTGGGTCCAGGTCCCTTTTTGGATCTGGTCACCCCAAACACAGCCCATGCCCAGATCCGGGGCCTTATCCCCATCTCCCCTTTCTCCCGCAGGGCTCTGGGCGGCCATGACCCTGCTGGAGTGCGGGGGGGACCTCCAGCCCCCTGGGGGGTCCCTGCGCCTCCTCTGCCGAGGGTCCGGGTTCAGTTTCGGACAATTTGGAATGTGATGGATGCGCCAGAGACCTGGGCAGGGGCTGGAATACATCGCCAGCATCAGCAACACTGGTGGAGGCACCAACTACTCGCCATGGGTGAATGGCCGGTTCAGGATCTCCAGGGACAACGGGCAGAGCTCGGTGACGCTGACCATGAACAACCTCAAGGATGAGGATTCCGGATCCTATTTCTGTGCCAAACGTGCTTACAGTAGTTATAGTTATGGTGCTGCTGCTTCTATTGACAATTCCAGCAGTGGTCCCGCCCTCCAATATGGTCACCAGATGTCTCCATTCCCAGTGATCTTTCCTCCAGAGCCCAGCTTTTCTCTTCAAATGCTCAATATTTTCCCTCAAACTTGGTCCCATCTGCCCCAACTCTCGGCTTTCTCACAATTTTGCCCATTTCATGCAAATATCTCCAAGTTTCCCAGGACCTCACTGGAGGAGGCCTGACCTGGAGCACAGGGGTGAAGGTTTGGGGCCAATGGTTGAGTTTTGGGGCAGGAGCAGGGGAGGGTTTGGGGTCAGTGCTGACCATTGGGGCAAATGGGGACAAAGGGTGAAGATCTGACGTTTGGGGGGCAGGTCTCAGATTGGGGACAGGGGGGGATACTGAGGGGGGGGTGGATGCACAACTGTCATCTTCACTGTAAGCACCTGGACAACAACAACCACTAGAAGCACGTTTGGCACAGAAATAGGATCCAGAATCCTTGTTCTTGAGGTTGTTCATGGTCAGCGTCACCGAGCTCTGCCCGTTTGTCCCTGGAGATTGTGAACCGGCCCTTGACCGATGGCGCATAGAATGTGCTGCCACCAGTGCTGATCCCCACGAGCCACTCCAGCCCCTGCCCGTGTCTCTGATGGACCCAGCTCATGGACGGACTCCCAAAATTGAACCCAGAGGCAAAGCACAGCAATGTCAGGGACCCGTGCAGGGGGCTGGAGGTCCCCCCCGCACTCCAGCAGGGTCACGGCCGCCTGGAGCCCTGCGGGACAAAGGGGAGATGGGGATGAGGACAAAGCTCAACCCTTGACCCAAATCCTGACTCTGGGCCCGAAACTGGGACCCTTGGACCACCCCATCTAAGTTGTCCTGCTCCTGCTGCCCCTCCCAGGTGGGTCTCGCCCCATTTTCCAGTTTGACACACCCACTTTGAAGCCCTCAGCCAATCAGGTTTCTCATCCCCATCTCCTCTTTGTCCTGCGGGGCTCCGGGCGGCTGTGACACTGCTGGAGTGCGGGGGAGACCTCCAGCCCCCCGGGGGGTCCCTGCGCCTCCTCTGCCGAGGGTCCGGGGTCGAATTTGGCAGTTTTAGGATGGGCTGGATCCGCCAGAGACCTGGGCAGACTCTGGAGTGGCTCGCAAGGAACACCAGCAGTGGCAGCGCCGACTACAATCCATCCTTCAAGGGCTGGTTCAGGATCTCCAGGGACAACAGGCAGAGCTCGGTGACGCTGACCATGAACAACCTCAAGGACGAGGATTCCGGATCCTATTTCTGCACCCAATGTTACAGCAGTAGTTTTGGTGGTGGTGGTGCTGTTGCATATGGTGTTGTTGGTGGTTGTGGCCCCAAGCCTTTTGTTCTGTGTTCCCAAATATCTCAGAATTCTCTGATCCTTCCCAAAAATCCCCACACCTATTTCTCAAATCTTGACAATTTCCCCCAAATGCCACCATCACTTCCCCAATTCCCAATTTCCCCCCAGTTTTGCCCATTTCTCCCCAGTCTGGCCCTTCCCCTCCGTCCCAGTGCGGAACGGGGATCGCTCCAGGGCCCTTTGAACACAAAGCTTTTTTTGCAGCCGGCGCTCTGCTGCAGCGCCCAGAGGCTGAGCTGCCCTCTGCCAAACACAGATGTTCACAATGACCAAAACCAGGAACTTCCTGTTTCCTTTCCTGCCCTAGCTGGGCCCCGGCAGCTGCCGGGGAGGAAGTGGGGGGAGGCTGCGGAGCCCCAAAATCGCGGCCTCTTCTCCTCCCTCCCTCCCTTTGTCCCACCTGGGGCTTCACTGCTCCCTCAGCGGCCGTGGTGTCTGGGGCTGCTCCTTGGGGCTGGGCTGGAATCCTCCCTGGGAGCTCTGGAGAGAAAACACTTTTTTTTTTACACAAAACCACATGAAATTTTGGGGAATTTGAATTTTTCAAATTGATCTCGAGCCAAGGGCTCCATGCTGAGTGAAGCAGAGGGGTGCAAGGGTGGAGTCACCTGAAACGTTCCATCGGTCAAGGGCAGGGTCAGAATGGGCAAGGAGAGCTCAGGAGCCAAAATGGCCCCAAATGGGCCCCGAGCTGAGGTGTGGGGCCAGGAGCTGAGAATGTGGGGAAGAGCCATGGCAGGGTTCGGGCACGGGGACAGGAATGGGGACAGGGGCTGGGGATTGGGGAAGGGTCTGGGGAATGGGGAGGGGCGGGGAAAGGGTGAAGGGGACGGGGTCAAAAGCATCAGCACGAGCAACATTTCCAGTAACAGTGGTTTTGGCACAGAAATAGATGGCGGAATCCTCGTCCTTGAGGTTGTTCATGGTCAGCGTCAGCGAGCTCTGCCCGTTGTCCCTGGAGATCGTGAACGGGCCCTTGACCGATGGCGCGTTGTAGGTGCTGCCACCACTGTTGATGCTTCCAACTGAGTCCAGCCCCTGTCTCGGTCTCTGTCGAACCCAATCCATTTCGAAACTGCCAAAACTGAGCCCGGACCCTCGGCAGAGGAGGCGCAGGGACCCCCAGGGCGGCTGGAGGTCACCCCCGCACTCCAGCAGGGTCACGGCCACCCGGAGCCCTGCGGGACAAAGGGGAGATAGGGGTGAGGACAAAGCTCAACCCTTGACCCAAACCCTGACTCTGGGCCCGAAACTGGTACCTTTGGACCACCCCATCCTAGTTGTCCTGCTCCGGCTGCCCCTCTAAGGTGAGTCCCACCCCATTTTCCAGTTTTACACACCCACTTTGAGGCCCGCAGCCAATCGGGTTCCTCATCCCCATCTCCCCTTTGTCCTGCAGGGCTCCAGGCGGCCGTGACCCTGCCGGAGTGTGGGGGGGGAACTCCAGCCCCCCGGGGGGTCCCTGCGCCTCCTCTGCCGAGGGTTCGGGTTCAGTTTAGGCAGTTTTGGGATGGGCTGGCACTGCCAGAGACCTTGGCGGGGCCTGGAAGCAGTCGCCAGTATCAGCAGCAGTGGCAGCACCTACTATGCGGATTCGGTCAAGGGCCGGTTCACGATCTCCAGGGACAACGGGCAGAGCTCGCTGACGCTGACCATGAACAACCTCAAGGACGAGGATTCAACCGTTTATTTCTGTGCCAAATCTTACAGCACAGATAGCGCTGCTGCTGCTGCTGCTTATACTGACCGTGCCGATGGTGGCATCGCCTTTCTGAGAACCTCAAGTTCCCAAATCTCAGACCCATCCTCCAAATCTCAGCCCTTGACCCCATTCTTGGTCCTTTGTCCCAGATCTCCCCCATTTCCAACACCACCAACCACGGAGCCGAAACCCGCGAACTGCTTCTGCCCCAAACCAAACTAAGTTGGCACCAAAAATCGCCCAAACTGGCCCCAAATCCCCACTTTTGCTCCCCTTAGCAGCAGCCGCTTACACAAATCCTCAACCTTTGTCTCCAAATCGGGACCCTGGGCCTCAAACCCCGACCTTCAGAGCAAAATTTTGGGGAACAAAGAGGAGATTTGGGGTCAGGAGTTGTGGTTTGGGGTCAGCGGGTGAGAATTGGGGCCAAGGCAGAGCAAGGTTGGGATCAATGGTCAAGGGCTGGGTGTGGGCTGGGGTTCTGGGGGAAGGGTCTGGGGAATGGGCATGGAGGGGGACACAGGGATGGGGGTGGGGAAACCATGGGCATCGTCACTACAAGCAGCATGGTCAGGGTAATTATTAGCAGCACACTTGGCGCCGAAATAAATGGCGGAATCCTCGTCCTTGAGGTTGTTCATGGTCAGCATCACCGAGCTCTGCCCGTTGTCCCTGGAGATCCGGAACCGACCCTTGAACGATGGCGCGTAGTAGGTGTTGGAACTATTGAAGTAGATGCCTGCGACGTATTGCAAAGCCTGCCCGGGTCTCTGGCGGATCCAGCACATTCCATAATCCCCAAAACTGAACCCGGACCCTCGGCAGAGGAGGCGCAGGGACCCCCCGGGGGGCTGGAGCTCCCCCCCGGACTCCAGCAGGGTCACGGCGGCCCGGAGCCCTGCAGGACAAAGGGGAGATGGCGATGAGAAACCTGATTGGTTGAATGTCTCATACTGCATGTGGCCAGCTGGGAAAACGGGGCAGGACCCACCTGGGGGGAGGATGATGAACTCCAAGGGTCACAATTTGGGGCCAAGAGTCAGGGTTTGGGTCAAGGGTTGAGCTTTGGCCCCATCCCCATCTCCCGTTTGTCCTGCAGGGCTCCGGGCGGCCGTGACCCTGCTGGAGTGCGGGGGGGACCTCCAGCCCCCAGGGGGGTCCCTGTGCCTCCTCTACGGCGGGTCCGGGATGAGTTTCGGCAGTTTCAACATGGGCTGGATGCATCAAAGACCTGGGAAAGGGCTGGAATTCGTGCAGGGATCAGCAACAACGGTGCCAGCATTTGCTTCGCGCCATCGGTCAAGGGTCGGTTCAGGATCTCCAGGGACACCGGGCAGAGCTCGGTGACGCTGACCATGAACAACCTCAAGGACGAGGATTCTGGATCCTATTTCTGCACCAAGGGTGTTTACAGTTGTTGTGCTGCTTCTGATGCTGATGTTGGTGATGGTGATCTTACCCCTGTTCCTGTCCCCGTGCCCCAGATCATTCCCTCCAAACCCAGACCCCACTCCTGACCCTGTGTCCCAACCCTGCCCTGTTCTAGCCCCAAATCTCAGCTCCTGGACCCAAATCTCAACTCCTGGCTCTCTGGATCCTGTTTCTGCGGGAAATCTCCTAGTACCAGTGGCGCTTATGCTGCTGGTTATATTGAGAGTGCCGACCATGGCCCCATCCCCAACCCTTTATAGGAGCAGCACCGTAACCATCAGCATCCTTGGCACAGAAATAGGATCCGGAATCCTCGTCCTTGAGGTTGTTCATCGTCAGCGTCACCGAGCTCTGCCCGTTGTCCTTGAAGATCCTGAACCGACCCTTGAACGATGGCACGTAGTAGGTGGCACCATTGCTCCAGATCGCTGAGATCCAGTCCAGCCCATCCTAAAACTGCCGAAACTGAACCCGGACCCTCGGCAGAGGAGACTGGAGGTCTCCCCGGACTCCAGCAGGGTCACGGCCACTCCCCGAACCCCAACCCTTCCCCAGTTTTGTCCCAAATTCCCTTTGTCTGGACTCAAATATTCTACAGAGGTTTCCATTATTGTACAGAACCTTAAACCCTGCAATTAGCCCCAATCCACCCATTATTACTTTGACAGCTCCACCTGGCTTTTGCATCGCCCCATCCCCATCTCCCCTTTGTCCCGCAGGGCTCCGGGCGGCCGTGACCCTGCTGGAGTGCGGGGGGGACCTCCAGCCCCCCGGGGGGTCCCTGCGCCTCCTCTGCTGAGGGTCCGGGTTTGATTTCAGACAATTTGGGATGTGCTGGTTTCGCCAGAGACCCGGGCAGACGCTGGAATACAACGCCAGTATCAGCAGCAGTGATGGCACCACCAACTACACACCATCGATGCAGGGCCGGTTCACGATCTCCAGGGACAACGGGCAGAGCTCGGTGACGCTGACCATGACCAACCTCAAGGACGAGGATTCCGGATCCTGTTTCTGTGCCAAACGTGACAATGGTTATGCTGATGGTAATGCTGCTGCTCTTTTCCTTGACTTCCGGTAGTGACCATGATGGTCGTGAAATTTCTCCACTTCAGCAATGCTTCCCCCAAGTTTCAGCCCTTCTAAAAACTCGACCATTTTCCCCCAAGCTCTGCCATTGTTGCCCCAACTCTGTGCTTTCCTCCAATTTTGCCCATTTCCCCCAAATCTCAACCAAGTCTCAGGCCCTGATTGGAGGAGGCCTGAACTGAAGGCCAGGGGTGAAGGTTTGAGGCCAATGGCTGAGTTTTTGGGCGGGAGCAGGGGAGGGTTTGGGGTCAGTGCTGACCATTGGGGCAAATGGGGGAGATCTGGGACAAAGGGTCAAGGGCTGAGGTTCGGGAGAAGGGTCTGGGTTTGGGGCCTGGGGGTTCAGACAGGGGTGATGCCAAAACTGGCATGGTCAATATGAGTAGCAGCAGCAGGCCAACCAGCATTAGCAGATTTCCCACAGAAACAGGATCTGGAATCCTCGTCCTTGCGGTTGTTCCTGGTCAGCGTCACCAAGCTCTGCCTGTTTTCCCTGGAGATCGTGACCCAGCCCTGCACCGATGGCGCGTACTTGGTAAAATCTCCATTGTTGTTGACACTCGCGACGTATTCCAGCCCCTGGCCGGGCCTCTGTCGATACCAGCCCATTCCAAATTGTCCAAAATCGAACCCGGACCCTCGGCAGAGGAGGCGCAGGGAGCCCCCGGGGGGCTGGAGGTCCCCCCCGCACTCCAGCAGGGTCACGGCGGCCCGGAGCCCTGCGGGTCAAAGGTGAGATGGGGATGGGGAGTCGCAAAATCCGGCAGAGCTGTCCAATTAATTAATGGATGGATTGGGTCTAATTGCAGGGTTTATGGAAGTTTTCAATACAGGAAATTTCTGTTAGATATTTGGGGCCCGACAAAAGAATATTTGGGGCAAAACCAGTGAAGGTTTGGGGATGGGGAAAAGGCCGTGGCCCTGCTGGAGTGCTGGGGGCACCTCCAGCCGACCGGGGGTTCCCAGCGCCTCCTCTGCCGAGGGTCCGGGTTCAGTTTTGGGAGTTTTGGAATGTTCTGGATCCATCAGAGACCCGGGCATGGGCTGGAATGGCTCGCGGGGATCAGCAGTGGTGCTTACACCGAGTACGCGGGTTCGGTCAAAAGCCATGTCACGATCTCCAGGGACAATGGGCAGAGTTCGGTGACGCTGACCACGAACAGCCTCAAGGACGACGATTCCGGATCCTATTTCTGTGCCAAAGCTGCTGGTGCCAGTTGGGGCAATGATGTCTCTTCTCTTGGCCCCTTCCCCTTGACTGGGTCCCCTCCTGTCCCCAATCCCCAGACCCTTCCTCCAAATCTCAGCCCTTGACCCCAGTCTTGACCTTTTGTCCCAGATCTCCCCCATTTCCAACACCACCAACAAGGAAGGAAATACCCCCAAACTGGTTCTGCCCCAAATCCAACTGCTTTGGCCCCCAGTCATGCCTGATTCTGCCCCAAATCCCCACTCTGGGTCCCAGCCACAGCTGCTGACACAAATCCTCAACCTTTGTCCCCAATTCGGGACCCTGGGCCTCAAACCCCGACCTTCAGAGCAAAGTTATGGGGCACAAAGAGGAGATTTGGGGTCAGGAGTTGTGGTTTGGGGTCAGCAGGTGAGAATTGGGGCCGAGCCAGAGCAAGGTTGGGATCAATGGTCAAGGGCGGGGTGTGGGCTGGGGGTCTGGGGGAAGGGTCTGGGGAACGGGGATGGGGGGGGACACGGAGATTGGGGTAGGGACAGCAAGGCCATTGTCACTATGACCAGCCCAATTAGCACCAGCAGCCTTGGCACAGAAATAGGCAGCGGAATCCTTGTCCTTGAGGTTGTTCATGGTCAGAATCACCGAGCTCTGCCCGTTGTCCCTGGAGATCGTGACCCGGCCTCTACCGATGGCGCGTAGTCGGTGGAACCATTGCTCCAGATCGCTGCGATCCATTTCAGCCCCTGCCTGGGTCTCTGTCGATACCAGCCCATCCCAAAATTCCCAAAATCGAACCCAGACCCTCGGCAGAGGAGGCGCAGGGACCCCCCGGGGGCTGGAGTTCCCCCCCACACTCCAGCAGGGTCATGGCGTCTGACTCCATGATTCAGAATGCTGAACGATTGCTATTAAATCTCTACTATATTACACTAATACTAGATTTTATTACAATAATACAATATTATATCTCATTATTAATATATTACATCTTATTAATAATATATTATATCTAACTAATACTATATTATATCTCATTAATTCTATATTATATCCCATTAATACTATGCTATATCTCATTAAAACTGTATTACCTGTCATTAATACTATATTATATCTCATTAATTCTATATAACATCTCATTAATACTATATTATATCTCATGAATTCTGTATTATATCTCTTTAATTCTCTATTATATCTCATTAATCCTACATTACACCTATACCAAAGAGATACTAAAAGAATTCTGATAAAAGACCCTAAAATATCCTGAAGAAACCCCGCGAGTGTCTGACAGAGCCAGGTCACGGCCTGGAGCCCACTGGGCAAGGAAACAAAACAATCCTCAGCAGCACCCAACTGGTAAATCCCTGGAGGGGAACGATCCCCCCGACACATTCCACATGTGCAGAAACAGCAGGAGCAGCGATGAGAGATGGGAATTGTTTCATCTTCTTCTTCTCCCTGTGCTGCTCCAGGAAAAATAATGAGAGAGAGAGAGAGGAAGACAAAGAGAGAGGGAGAGAGAGAGAGAGAGGGAGAGAGGGAGAGAGGGAGAGAGGGAGAGAGAGGGAGAGAGACAATGGGGTCTGACTCTCTGCAGGGAACGAGAATGGCACAGCCAGGCCCCGTGCCCATCTCCCCTTAGTCCCGCAGGGCTCCGGGCGGCTGTGACCCTGCTGGAGTGCGGGGGAGACCTCCAGCCCCCCGGAGGGTCCCTGCGCCTCCTCTGCCGAGGGTCCGGGTTTGATTTCGGGAGTTTTGGCATGCACTGGGTGCGCCAGAGACCCGGGCAGGGGCTGGAATACATCGCCAGTATCAGCAGCAGCGCTGGCAGCACCGACTACGCGCCGTCGGCCAAGGGCCGGGCCACAATCCCCAGGGAAAACAGGCAGAGCTCGGTGACGCTGACCATGAACAACCTCAAGGACGAGGATTCCGCCATTTATTTCTGTGCCAAACGTGGTACTAGTGGTTATGGTGGTGCTGCTGCTTAGAGTGACGATGGCCGTGGTGCATCCATCCCCATCTCTGGGTCCTCACCTGTCCCCAAACTGAGACTCTTCCTTTAAATTCTCCCCCAAACCTCAGCCCTTGACCCTTTGTCCAAAATCTCCCCATTTGCACCAATGGTCAGCACTGACCCCAAACCCTCCACTGCTCCTGCCCCAAAACTCAAACATTGACCCCAAACCTTCATCCCTGGCCTCCAGTTCAGGCCTCCTCCAATCAGGGCCCAGGAGCTGAGGGAGATTTGGGTGAAACTGGCAAACCTGGGTGAAAGTCCAGAGTTGGGGCAAAGATGGTGGACATTCGGGGAGAAGGTCAAGAATGGGGTCAAGGGTTGGGATTTGGGGAAGTATTTGGGGATTTTGGGACATTTACAGAGCCAGGGATGGGGGTTTTGGGGCCACCACCAGCATCATCACCATGTCCAGAGCTCCCAGAGAGGATTCCAGCCCAGCCCCAAGGAGCAGCACCAGACACCGAGGCCGCCGAGGGAGAAGTGAAGCTCCAGGAGGGAGGGAGGGAGGGAGGGAGGAGAAGATGCTGCAATTTTGGGGCTCCGCAGCCTCCCCCCACTTCCTCCCCGGCAGCTGCCGGGGCCGGGCCGGGGCAGGAAAGGAAACAGAAAGTTCCTGGTTTTGTTCATGGTGAACATCTGTGTTTGGCAGAGGGCAGCTCAGCCTCTGGGCGCTGCAGCAGAGCGCCAGCTGCACAAAAAGCTTTGTGTTCAAAGGGCCCTGGAGCGATCCCCTTCCACACTGAGACGGAGGGGAACTGGGCGAGATTGGGAAAAATGGGCAAAACTGGGGGAAACCAAAAGCTGTGGCAGCAGGGGTGGAATTTAGGGGGAAATGGTCAAGATTTGAGAAACAGGGGTGGAGATTTTGGGGAAGGATCGGAGAATTCTGAGATATTTTGGAACAGAGAGGAGAGGGATTGGGACCACAACCACCATCAACACCATAAGCAGCACCACCACTACCACAACCACTAGTGTAACTTTTGGCACAGAAATAAACTGCAGAATCGTCGTCCTTGAGGTTGTTCATGGTCAGCGTCACCGAGCTCTGCCCGTTGTCCCTGGAGATCGTGACCCGGCCCTTGACAGAATCCGTGTAGCCGGTCCAACCACCATTGCTGTTGATGCCCGCGACCCATTCCAGCCCCTGCCTGGCTCTCTGGTGCACTTAGTACATGCCATAATTCCCAAAACTAAACCCAGACCCTTGGCAGAGGAGGCGCAGGGACCCCCCAGGGGGGCTGGAGGTCCCCCCCGCACTCCAGCAGGGTCACGGCCGCTTGGAGCCCTGCGGGACAAAGGGGAGATGGGGATGAGGCCAAAGCTCAACCCTTGACCCAAATCCTGACCCTTGCCTCCAAATAGGGACCCTTGGAGTTTATGATCTTTCTGCCAGGTGGGTCCTGAACTTTTTTCCAGCTGGCCACACCCACATTAAGGCTCTCAACCAATCAGATTTCTCATCTCCATCTCCCCTCTTTCCCGCACGGCTCCGATCGGCCGTGACCCTGCTGGAGTGCGGGGGGGACCTCCAGCCCCGCAGGGGTTCCCTGACGTTGCTCTGCCGAGGGTCCGGGTTCAGTTTCAGGGGTCACTCCATGCAATGGATCCGGCAGAGCCCCGGGCAGGGGCTGCAATGGCTTGCGGGGATCCACAGCTCTGGGTGTTTCACTGACTGCTCCCCGTCGGTGAAAAGCCAGGTCAGGATCTCCAGGAACAACGGGCAGAGCTTCACAGCCCTGACCGTGTTTGACCTGGAGGATGAGGATTCCGGATCCTATTTCTGTGCCAAAGCTGCTGGGGCTGGTGGAGATGACCATGATGCCAATGCTATTGACTCCACCACTATTGTTGTGTCCCCAAATGTCCCCAAACCGCAGACCCTCCCACCAAATCGCAGACCTCGTCCCCACTCTCGGTGACTGGATTCGTGTCCCCAGCCCCGGGCCCAGCGCTGACCTTTGGGGCAGAGTTTGGGGGAAGATAAATGGCCAAGGGTTGGGGTTTGGGGCTGGAGAGGGGAAAGGGAAAATGAGAAATGGTCATGGGCTGGGTCAGGGGGTGGGAGCTGGGGAAGGGTCCGCAGGACATAGACAGCTGGGGGTGCAGTGATGAGGGTGAGACCAGGACTTCGCAGGTCCCCATGTGCAACAGCAACAGGACCACCAGTATTGTAAGATTTCCCGAAGAAATAAATGGCGGAATCCTCGTCCTTGAGGTTGTTCATGGTCAGCGTCACCGAGCTCTGCCTGTTGTCCCTGGAGATCCTGAACCAGTCCTTGACTGACGGGGCGTACCAGGTGCTGCCACCATTGCTGGTGATACTTGCAGGCCATTCCAGTGCATTCTTTGGTGTCTGTCGATACCAGCCCATCCCAAAACTGCCGAAACTGAACCTGGACCCTCGGAAGAGGAGGCGCAGGGACCCCCCCGGGGGCCTGGAGGTGCCCCCCGCACTCCAGCAGGGTCACGGCCGCCCGGAGCCCTGCGGGACAAAGGGGAGATGGGGATGAGAAACCTGATTTGTCGATGGCCTAAAAGTGGGTGTGGCCTGCTGGTAAAAATGGGGGGACCCCCTAGGAAGGGCCACCAGAATCAGCAGGATGACAGCAGATTGTCACGATTTGGGGCCAACAGCCAGGATTTGGGTCAATGTTTAGCTCTGGCCTCATCCCCATCATCTCCCCTTTGTCCCGCAGGGCTTCGGGCAGCCGTGACCCTGCTGGAGTGCGGGGGGGACCTCCAGCCCCACGGGGGTCCCTGCGCCTCCGCTGCCAAGGGTCCGGGTTCAGTTTTGGTAGTTTCGGCATGCAGTGGATCCGCCACAGATGCAGGCAGAGGTTGGAGTGGCTCACAGGGATCAGTGACAATGGTGGCACCACCGACTACGCGCCATCATACAAGAGCCGGATCACGATCTCCATGGACAACGGGCAGAGCTCGGTGACACTCACCATGAACAGCCTCAAGGACGAGGATTCCGGATCCTATTTCTTTGCCAAACGTGACAATGGTTATGCTGGTGGTAATGCTGCTGCTGTTTTTGCCTTCACTTCTGCATGAGGGTCGTGAAATTTCTCCAGTCTCTTTTGCCTTCACCATGAGGGTCGTGAAATTTCTCAAGTCCCAGCGATGCTTCCCCCAAGTTTCAGCCCTTCTAAAACCTCGACCATTTTCCCCCAAACTCTACCATTGTTGCCCCAACTCTGTACTTTCCTCCAATTTTGCCCATTTCTCCCTAATGTCTACCCAGTCCCAGGTCCTGATTGGAGCAGGCCTTAACTGGAGCCCAGGGGTGAAGGTTTGGGGCCAATGGTTCAGATTTGGGGCAAGTCATGGGAAGGGTTTGGGGTCAGTGCTGACCATGGGGGCAAATGGGGGAAATTTTGGGACCAAGGGTCAAGGGCTGAGGTTTGGGGGGGAAGAGTGTGGGTTTGGGGACTGGGGGGGCTCAGAGAGGGGTGATGCCAAAACTGGCATGGTCAATATAAGCAGCAGTAGCACCACCAGCAGCACCAGCAAAAGCAGATTTGGCACAGAAATAAACGGGGGAATCCTCATCCTTGACGTTGTTCATGGTCAGCGTCACCGAGCTCTGTCTGTTGTCCCTGGAGGTCCTGAACCGGCCCTTGACTGATGGCGCGTAGCCGGTGCTGCCACCAGTGTTGCTGATGTAGGCAACGAATTCCAGCCCCTGCCGGGGTCTCTGGCCGATCCATTCCATTTCAAAACTTTCAAAACTGCACTAGGACCCTCGGCAGAGGAGGCGGAGGGACCCCCCGGGGCGGCTGGAGATACCCCCCACACTCCAGCAGGGTCACGGCCGCCCGGAGCCCTGCGGGAAAGAGGGGAGATGGGGATGAGGCCAAAGCTCAACCCTTGAACCCACAATCCTGACTCTTGGCCCCAAATTGGGACCCTTGGACAATCTCATCCTAATTGTCCTGCACCTGCTGAGCTTCCCAGGTCCCACCCCATTTTCCAGTTTGACACACCCACTTTTAAGCCCTCAGCCAATCAGGTTTCCCATCCCCATCTTCCTTTGTCCCTCAGGGCTCTAGGCTGGCGTGACCCTGCTGGAGTGCGGGGGGGGCCTCCAGCCCCCCGGGGGGTCCCTGCGCCTCCTCTGCCGAGGGTCCGGGTTCAGTTTCAGACAATTTGGTATGGGCTGGATGCACCAGAGACCCGGGCAGGGGCTGGAGTTTGTAGCACAGATCAGCACTGCTGGTGCCACCCACTACGCAGATTCTGTCAAGGGTCGGTTCAGGATCTCCAGGGACAACGGGCAGAGCTCGGTGATGCTGACCATGAACAACCTTAGGGACGAGGATTCCGGATCCTATTTCTGTGCCAAGGATTCCTATGGTGGCTGGAATGCTGCCCATGGCATTGGTTTCACTCCCGGTAGTTGGGTTGGTGTTTGGGTTCCTGTCCCCATCCCTGTCCCCAGCTGTCCCCAGACCCTTCCCCCAAACCCCCCTGACCCACCCCTGACCCTTTGTCCCAGCCCCGCCGCCTTTGCCCCAACGCTGCCCTTTGGCCCCAAACCCTGCCCTGGGTCTGGCCCCAAACTCAACTCTCGGCCCCAAATCTCCCCCTCGTTCCCCAAAAGTTCCTAAAGGGCCGAGATTTGGGGGCAGCGGGTGAAGACTGGGTAAGCGGCTGCGGCTGGGAGCCCAAAGTGGGGATTTGGGGCAGAATCAGGCGAGTTCTGGGGCCATAGCAGGAGGATTTGGGGCAGAATCAGTTTGGGGGTTTGGAGTCTTTGGTCAACCATGGGTGGAAATGGGGGAGATCATGGCAAATGGGTCAAGAATGGGGTCAAGGGCTGAGATTTGGGTAAAGGTTCTGAGATTTGGGGACAAGAGGGGCTCAGACAAGGGTGCTGCCACCACCAGCAAGGTAAATATAAGCAGCAGCAGCCCAAGCAGCACCAGCAGCTTTGGCACAGAAATAGGATCCGGAATCCTGGTCCTTGAGGTTGTTCATGGTCAGCGTCACCGAGCTCTGCCCGTTGTCCCTGGAGATCCTGAACCGGCCCTTGACTGATGGCGCATAGCCGGTGCTGCCACCAGTGTAGCTGAACACCGCGACCCAGTCCAGCCCCTGCCTGGATCTCTGGCGAACCCAATCCATTCCAAAATTCCCAAAACTGAACCCGGACCCTCGGCAGAGGAGGCGCAGGGAGCCCCCGGGGGCTGGAGGTCCCCCCCGGACTCCAGCAGGGTCACAGGTTCAGTTTTGGGAGTTATGAAATGTTCTGGACCTGCCAGAGACCCAGGCAGCATTTGGAATACGTCGCAGGGATCTACAACCCTGGTGGCACCACCTACTACAATCCATCGGTCAAGGGCCGGTTCACGATCTCCAGGGACAACGGGCAGAGCTCGGTGACGCTGACCATGAACAACCTCAAGGATGAGGATTCCGCCACCTATTTCTGTGCCAAGAGTGCTGGTGCTGGTTGGGTGAAAGTGCTCATCGTATTGACGATGGCCATGCTGTCCCCATCCCCATCTCCGTGTCCCCACCCTGTCCCCATTGTCCAGACCCTTCCCCCACACCTCCAGCCCACACCCAGCCCTTGACCATTGATCCCAACCTTGCTCTGCCTCGGCCCCAATTCTCACCCGCTGACTCCAAACCACAACTCCCGACCCCAAATCTCCTCTTTCTGCCTCAAACCATTGCTCTGAAGGTCGGGGATTGAGGCCAAGGGTCCCGATTTTGGGACAAAGGTTGAGGATTCGTGTCAGCAGCTGTGGCTGGGAGCGCAAAGTGGGGTTTTGGGGCAGAATTGGGCGATTTTGGTGCAAACTTAGTTGGATTTGGGGCAGAACCAGTTTTGGGGTTTGGCTCCATGGTTGGTGTCGTGGAACTGGGGGAGATCTGGGACAAAGGGTCAAGAATGCGGTGAAGGGCTGAGACCCAGGGGAAGGGTCGTGGGACTGGGGAGAGGAGGGGACAATGAGATGGGGGCTTGGATCCACCATGGATGCCATCCAAATTAGCACCAGGACCCACATAACCAGCATAAGCACGTTTGGCACAGAAATAGGATCCGGAACCCTCGTCCTTGAGGTTGTTCATGGTCAGCGCCACCGGCTCTTCCCGTTGTCCCTGGAGATCGTGAAGCAGCCCTGCACCGATGGCCCGTAGTAGGCGCTGCCACAGTATTGATCCGCACGAGCAAATCCAGCGCCTGCCCGGGTCTCTGGCGGATCCAGTTCATGTCGTAGCTCCCGAATCTGAACCCGGCCCCTCGGCAGAAGAGGCGCAGGTACCCCCCGGGGGGCTGGAGGTTCCCCCCGCACTCCAGCAGGGTCACGGCCGCCCGGAGCCCTGCGGGAGAAAGGGGAGATGGGGATGGGGCCAAATCTCAACCCTTGACCGAAATTCTGATTATTGGCCCCAAATTCTGACCCCTGGGCCTTCTCATCCTTCTCCAATGTGGGTCCCGACTCTTTTCCAACTGGCCAAACACACTTTGAAGCCCTGGACCAATCAGGTTTCTCATCCCCATCTCCCCTTTGTCCCGCAGGGCTCCGGGAGGCCGTGACCCTGCTGGAGTGCGGGGGGGACCTCTAGCCCCCCAGGGTGTCCCTGCGCCTCCTCTGCCGATGGTTCGGGTTCTGTTTTGGGGGTTTTGGCAAGCACTGGGTGCGCCAGAGACCCGGGCAGGGGCTGGAATGGCTTGCAGGGATCAGCAGTGGCGCTTACACCGACTACGCGCCATTGGTGCAGGGCCGGTTCAGGATCTCCAGGGACAACGGGCAGAGCTCGGTGACGCTGACCATGAAAAACCTCAAGGACGAGGATTCCGGATCCCATTTCTGTGCCAAGGGTTCTGGTGCAACTGCTCCTGATAATGATGCCTATGCTATTGGGCCCGCCCCCATCGCTGTGTCACCACATGCCCTCACTTGTCCCAGACCCTTTCTGAAACCCCAGCCGCTGACCCAATTCCTGTCCCCGTGCCCCAACCCTGCCCTGGCTCTGCCCCGCATTCTCAGCTCCTGGCGCCACACCTCAGCTCAGGGCCCACTCGGGGCCATTTTGGCTCCTGAGCTCTTCTTTGCCATTCTGACCCTGCCCTCCACGGATGGAACGTTCCAGGTGACTCCACCCTTGCACCCCTCTGCTTCTCTGATCATGGAGCCCCTGGCTCGAGATCAATTTGAAAAATTCAATTTCCCCAAAATTTTATGTGTAATTTGGGTAAAATAAGGGGGTTTTCTCCAGAGACAGGATTCCAGCCCAGCCCCAAGGAGCAGCACCAGACACCGAGGCCGCTGAGGGAGAAGTGAAGCCCCAGGTGGGAGCGAGGGAGGGAGGGAGGGAGGAGAAGAGGCCGCGATTTTGGGGCTCCGCAGCCTCCCCCCACTTCCTCCCCGGCAGGTGCCAGGGCCCGGCCGGGGCAGGAAAGGAAACAGAATGTTCCTGGTTTTGGTCACTGTGAACATCTGTGTTTTGCAGAGGGCAGCTCAGCCTCGGGGCGCAGCGGCAGAGCGCCGGCTGCACAAAAAGCTTTGTGTGCAAAGGGCCCTGGAGCGATCCCCGTGCCACACTGGGACGGAGGGGAACTGAGGGAGATTGGGGAGAAATTGGCAAAACTGGGGGGAAATTGGGAATTGGGGAAGTGACGGTGGAGTTTGGGGGAAAGTGGTCAAGATTTGAGAAACTGGGGTGGGGATTTTGGGGAAGGATCAGAGAATTCTGAGTTATTTGGGAAGAGAGAGGAGAGGGCTTGGGACCACAACCACCATCAACACCATAAGCATAAGCGCCATTACCACAGCCACTGGTGTAACATTTGGCACAGAAATAGGATCCAGAATCCTCGTCCTTGAGGTTGTTCATGGTCAGCGTCACCGAGCTCTGCCCGTGGTCCCTGGAGATCGTGAGCCGGCCTTTGATCGACGGCGCGTACCAGGCACTGCCACCAGTGTTGATCTCTGCAACGTACTCCAGTGCATTCCTTGGTGTCTGTTCATACCAGCCCATCCCAAAACTTCCGAAACTGAACCAGGACCCTTGGCACAGCAACGTCAGAGACCCCCCGGGAGGCTGGAGGTCCCCCCCGCACTCCAGCAGGGTCACGGCCACCCGGAGCCCTGCGGGAAAAAGGGGAGATGGGGATGAGGCCAAAGCTGAACCCTTGACCCAAACCCTGACTCTGGGCCCGAAACTTGGACCTTTGGACCACCCCATCCTAGTTGTCCTGCTCCGGCTGCCCCTCTAAGCTGGGTCCCACCCCATTTTCCAGTTTTACACAAGCCACTTTGAGGCCCTCAGCCAATCAGGTTTCTCATCCCCATCTCCCCTTTGTCCCGCAGGGCTCTGGGCAGCCGTGACCCTGCTGGAGTGCCGGGCGCACCTCCAGGCCCCCGGGGGGTCCCTGTGCCTCCTCTGCTGAGCGTCCGGGTTCACTTTCGGGAGCTACGACATGAACTGGGTGCACCAGAGACCCGGGCAGGGGCTGGAGTGGGTCGCGGGGATAAACACTGGTGGAGGCACCTGGTACGCGCCATCGTTCAGGGGCAGGTTCAGGATCTCCAGGGACAACGGGCAGAGCTCAGTGACGCTGACCATGAACAACCTCAAGGATGAGGATTCCGGATCCTATTTCTGTGCCATATTTGCTGGTGCCAGTAATTAGTGTGCTGCTCCAGTCTATCCTTTTGGCCTTTTCCCCGTTCCCCACACCCTTCCCCCATACCCCAACCCCTGACGCCACTCCTCACTCTCTGTCCCAGCCCTGCTCTGGCTCTGCCCCCAATGTCCCCTCTGGGCCACACTCAGCGCCCTCGATCCCAAAATGTCACCGAAATGCCTGGATTTGGGCCCAAAGTTTAAATCAGGGATCAAGAATTCATATTTTAGCCCAAAATTCCCCATGTGAGGCCGACGGCGCAGATTTGGGTCGGTGGCTGTGACTCAGTACCTGCAGGGGAGATTTGGGGTAAAACTGGACAAGTCTGGGGGCAGTGGTTGGGATTGGAGGGCCGAGGCTCGTCTCAGAGTGAAACCAGCCCTGATTTGGGGCCAGGAGCTGAGATTTGGGGCCAAGAGCTGAGATTTGGGGCCAGGAGCTGAGATTTGGGGCCAAGAGCTGAGATTTGGAGCCAGGAGCGGAGATTTGGGGCCAGAGCAGGGCAGAGCTGGGACACGGAGACAGGAATGGGGTCAGGAGCTGGGGTTTGGGCAAAGAATCTGGAAAATGGGGACAAGTGGGAAAACAGCAATGCGGATGGGGACAAAAGGATGCGCAGCAGGAGCCCAACCAGCACCAGTAGATTTGGCACAGAAATAGGATCCGGAATCCTCATCCTTGAGGCTGTTCATGTTCAGCGTCACCGAGCTCTGCCCGTTGTCCCTGGAGATCGTGAACCGGCCCTTGAATGATGACGCGTATCTGGGAGTGGCGACATCACTGGTGACACTTGCCAAAAGCTCCAAACCCTGCCCGGGTCTCTGGCGATGCCAGCCCATCCCAAAATCCCCGAAATGGAACCCGGACCTTCGGCATAGGAGGCGCAGGGACCCCCCGGGGGGCTGGCGGTCCCCCCCCGACTCCAGCAGGGTCACGGTGGCCCGGAGCCCGGCGGGACAAAGGGAAGATGGAGATGGGAAACCTGATTGGTCGAGGGACTTAAAGCTGGTGTGGCCTGCTGGAAAATGGGGCAGGACCCACCTGGGATGAGGATGATGAACTCCCAGGGTCCCAGTTTGGGGCCAAGGGTCAGCATTTGGGTCAAGGGTTGAGCTTTAGCCTCATCCCCATCTCCCCTTTGTCCCGCAGGGCTCTGGGTGGCTGTGACCCTGCAGGAGTGCGGGGGGCACCTCCAGCCCCCCAGGGGGTCCCTGACGTTGCTGTGCCGAGGGTCCGAGTTCAGTTTGGGGGTTTTGCAATGTTCTGGGTGCGCCAGAGACCCGGGCAGGCGCTGGAATTCATCGCCAGCATCAACAGTGATGGTTCCAGCACCAGGTACACAGATTCAGTGCAGGGCCGGTTCAGGATCTCCAGGGACAACGGGCAGAACTCGGTGACGCTGACCATGAACAGCTTCAAGGACGAGGACTCCGGATCCTATTTCTGTGCCAAATATGTGGTTTGGGCTTTTTCTGCAAATCCTTTTGTCCCCATCCGCATGGGTTTTTCCCCACTTGTCCCCATTTTCCAGATTCTTTCCCCAAACCCAAATCCCTGACCCCATTCCTGTCCCCGTGTCCCAGCTCTGCCCTGCTCTGGCCCCAAATCTCAACTCTTGGCCCCAAATCTCAGCTCTTGGCACCAAATCTCAGCTCCTGTCCCCAAATCAGGGCCGGTTTCACCCTGAGCTCAGCCTCGTCCCTCCAAACCCGACCACTGCCCCCAGACTTGTCCAGTTTAAACCCAAATCTGCCCTGCGGGCACCGATTCAGCCACAGACCCAAATCTGGCCCGGCTGGACTCACATTGGGAATTTTGGGCTAAAATTTGAATTCTTGATCCCTGATCTTAACTTTTGGCTCAAATCCAGGCATTTCGGGGACATTTGGGAAACAAGGGCACTGAGTGTGGCTCAGAGGGGACATTTGGGGCAGAGCCAGAGCAGGGCTGGGACAGAGGGACAGGAATGGGGTTTGGGGGAAGGGTCTGGGGCATGGGGATGCAGAAAGGGACGCAGTGATTAGATCAGTTTAATCAAGATGAGCAGCAGCATTACAACAACCATCAGTACTGGTTTTGGCACAGAAATAGGATCCGGAATCCTCGTCCTTGAGGTTGTTCATGGTCAGCGTCACCGAGCTCTGCCCGTTGTCGCTCGTCAATGTGAACCGGCCCTTGACCGAGTCCGCGTAAAAGATGCTTCCACTTCGTCTGCTGATCCCCGCCACCACATCCAGCCCCTGCCCAGGTCTCTGATGGATCCACAGCATTGCAAATTTTTCGAAATCAAACCCAGAGGTGCGGAAGAGGAGGCGCAGGGACCCCCCGGGGGGCTGGCGGTCCCCCCCGCACTCCAGCAGGGTCACGGCCGTCCGGAGCCCTGCGGGACAAAGGGGAGATGGGGATGAGAAACCTGATTGGTCGAGGGACTCAAAGCAGGCGTGGCCAGATGGACAAAGGTGCAGGACTCTCCTGGGATGACAGTGATGAACTCCAAGGGTCCCAGTTTGGGGCCAAGGGTCAGGATATGGGTCAAGGGTTGAGCTTTGGCCTCATGCCCATCTCCCCTTTGTCTCGCAGGGCTCCGGGCGGCCGTGACCCTGCTGGAGTGCGGGGGGGACCTCCAGCCCCCCGGGGGGTCCCTGACATTGCTGTGCCGAGAGTCCGGGTTCAGTTTCGGTGGTTTCCACATGAGCTGGTATCGCCAGAGACCTGGGAAGGGGCTGGAGTGGCTCACGAGTATCAGCAAGGATGGTGGCAGCACCGAGTACGCGGATTCCGTCAAGGGCCGGTTCAGGACCTCCAGGGACAACGGGCAGAGCTCGGTGATGCTGACCATGAACAACCTCAAGGATGAGGATTCCGCATCCTATTTCTGTGGCAGAAGTGTTGTTGGTAGTGCTGGTTGGAACGCTGCTGCAGGTATTGGTCACTCTCATGTTTCGGTTGCATTTGGCCGTGTTCCTGTTCCCTGGTCCCCACCTATCTCTATTCTCTGGACCCTTCCCCAAAACCCCAAGCCTGGACCCCATTCCTATCCCCATGTCCTAATCTTGGAGTGGTTCGGCCTGAAATCCGCTCTCTGCACCTTACCACAAAGTTGACTCAAACCTTAACCCTTGGCTTGAAGTATCCACTTTTATAACAAGGTTTTGTGGCACAAAGTGGAGATTTGGGTCAGGAGTTGTGGTTTGGGGTCAACGGGTGAGAACTGGGGCCGAGGCAGAGCAAGGTTCGGATCGATGGTCAAGGGCTGGGTGTGGGCTGGGGGTTTGGGGGAAGGGTCTGGGAAACGGGGACAGGGGGGACACACAGATGGGGATGGGGACAGCAAGGCCATCATCAATAGGATGAGCACTTTCAGCTCAAACAGCACCAGCACTCTTGGCACAGAAATAGGTGGTGGAATCCTCGTCCTTGAGGTTGTTCATGGTCAGCGTCACCGAGCTCGGCCCGTTGTCCCTGGAGATCATGAACCGGCCCTTGACCAAATGGATTGTAGTAGGTGGTGCCACCAGTGTTGTAGATGCCTGCGACGTATTCCAAACCCTGCCCGGGTCTCTGGCGGATCCAGGACATTCCATAACTCCCAAAATCGAACCCGGACCCTCGGCACAGTAATATCAGGGACCCCCAGGGGGCTGGAAATCCCCCCCGCACTCCAGCAGGGTCACGGCCGCCCGGAGCCCTGCGGGACAGAGGGGAGATGGGGATGAGGGCAAAGCTCAACATTGACCCAAATCCTGACTCTGGGCCCCAAATTGGGATCCTTGGAGTTCATCATCCTCCCAGGAGTGTTTTACCCCTTTGTTAAGATGGCCACGCCCACTTAAAAGCCCTAGACCAATCAGACTTTCGATTTCCATCATCTCTCTTTTGTCTCGCAGGGCTCCAGGCGGCCGTGACCCTGCTGGAGTGCGGGGGGGACCTCCAGCCCCCCAGGGGGTCCCTGCGCCTCCTCTGCCGAGGGTCCGGGTTCAGTTTCGGACAAACCAGTCTGATGTGGATCCGACAGCGGCCTGGGCAGGGCCTGGAATACATTGCAGGGATTGACTATGATGGAGACACCAGATACTCGTCATCGTTCAGCGGCTGAGTCAGCATCTCCAGGGACAACGGGCAGAGCTCGGTGACGCTGACCATGAACAACCTCAAGGTCGAGGATTCCGGATCCTATTTCTGTGCCAAAACTCCTGAGAGTTATAATGCTGTTGTTGATGATCGTAGTGACGCTGCTGGTGCTGGTTATGGAGCATTTAGCCCCGCCCCCTTTGTTGCATCCCTAATTGTCCTGAAACCCCAGACCCTCCCCCCAGATACCAGCCCTCGTCCCCGCTCTTGGGGGCTGAATTCCTGTCCCCAGCCCCGGGCCCAGCGCTGACCTTTGGGGCACAGTTTGGGGGAATGTCAATGGCCAAGGGTTGGGGTTTGGGGCTGGAGAGGGGAAAGGGAAATGGAGAAATGGTCACGGGCTGGGTCAGGGGCTGGGAGCTGGGCAAGGGTCTGGGGAATGGGGACAGGTGGGGATACAGTGACGGGGATGGGGTGAAACAGCAGCACCCAAACCTGCACCGACAGTTTTTGTGCAGAAATAGGATCCGGAATCCTCGTCCTTGAGGTTGTTCATGGTCAGCGTCACCGAGCTCTGCCCGTTGTCCCTGGAGATCGTGAACCGGCCCTTGACCAATGGTGCATAGTGGGTTCTGGAAAGATCGTAGCTGATCTCTGCCACGAACTCCAGCCCCTGCCCGGGTCTCTGGCGGATCCAGTACATATTCACATTCCTGAAACTGAACCCGGACCCTCGGCAGAGGAGGGGCAGGGACCCCCCGGGGGCTGGAGGTCCCCCCCGCACTCCAGCAGGGTCACGGCCGCCCGGAGCCCTTCGGGACAAAGGGGAGATGATTAAAAATGAGAAATATGATTGGTCTAGATGGGGAAAAGGTGTGCGTGCTCCAGAAAAAGGGGGCGGAGCCCACCTGGGAGGGGCAGCAGGAGCAGCAGGGACAGGAGCCGGAGGGAGCTCAAGGCCAAGGCCGGGATTTGCTGGAGTTGGGGTCCCAGGGGGGTTTGCAGGTTCTTAACGTGGTATTGCGTTTGAAATCAATGTGGAACCCTGAGGAGAAGGTGTCCAATTAATTAATGAGATTGTTTAATTCCAGCTTTTGAGGAACCTCAGGATACCCAAAAAATCTGCTGGAGATTTGGGACCGAACGAGGGGAGTTATGAGTGAAATTGGTGAAGATTTGGAGATGGGCTCCAAGCGGCCGTGCCCCTGCTGGAGTGCGGGGGGGACCTCCACTGACGTTGCTGTGCCAAGGGTCCAGGTTCGATTTCGGGAGTTTTGGGATGGGCTGGATGCACCAGAGACCCGGGCAGGGGCTGGAATTTGTCGCAAGGATCAGTGACAGTGGAGGTTACACCGAGTATGTGCCATCGGTCAAGGGCCGGGTGACGATCTCCAGGGACAACGGGCAGAGTTCAGTGACACTGACCATGAACAACCTCAAGGACGATGATTCTGCCGTTTATTTCTGTGTCTCCTGGTGGTGATGGTGCTGCTCCTGCTGATTATATTGACGGTGCTCATGATGTCCCCATCTCCTCGTGTCCCCCCCCGTCCCCGTTGCCCAGACCCTTCCCCCAAACCCCCCGCCCACACCCAGCCCTTCACCATTGATCCCAACTATGCTCTGCCTCTGCCCCAATTCTCACCCGCTGACCCCAAACCACAACTCGCGACCCCAAATCTCCTCTTTGTGCCCCAAAACCTGATTCTGAAAGTGGATACTTCTGGTCATGGGTTAAGATTTCGGTCAACTTTGTGGTCGAGAGTGGAGAATTTGGGGCACAGCCAGGACAGGGTTGGGAGATGGGATCAGAAATGGGGTCATAGCAGAGTTTGGGAGAAGGGTCTGGGGAACCGGGACAGGTGGGGACACAGCCATGGGGATGGGGTCAATACCATCAGCAGCAGCACCCGAAGTATCATAGGCAGCTTTCCCGCAGAAATAGGATCTGGAACCCCCATCCTTGAGGTTGTTCATGGTCAGCGTCACCGAGCTCTGCCCATTGTCGCTGGAGATCCTGAACTGGCCCTGCACTGATGGCGCATACCAGGCGTGGGCACCGCTAGCGTCGATCAGCGCCAGCCTTTCCAGCACCTGCCCGCGCCTCTGGCGGGTCCAGGTGATGGAGTGAGCCCCGAAACTGAACCCGGACCCTCAGCAGAGAAGGCGCAGGGACCCCCCAGGTGGCTGGAGGTGCCCCCCACACTCGAGCAGGGTCACGGCCGCCCGGAGCCCATCCCCAAACCATCCTGGTTATTGCCAAACTCCCCTGGTTTGCTCCCAAATCTCTACCAGTGATCTCCTGTATAATAAGTTGCCTCAAATCATACAATTCTCCCCTATCCACTTGTTAGTAATTGGAAACCTCCTCCTGATTCTTCTCCACTGATGGTGCAATTTAAAACTCATTAATGACCGCCAAAATCCACCGGGACCCCAACCCCAGCACAACACGGCCACTGCCTCGAGTTCCCTGGAGCTCTTGGCCGTGCAGCTGCTGCTGCCCCTCCCAGGTGGGCCCCGCCCATTTTTCCAACAGCCACACCCCTTTCCCCTTCTGGAGCAATCATATTTCTCATTTTTAATCATCTCACCTTTGTCCCGCAGGGCTCCGGGCGGCCGTGACCCTGCTGGAGTGCGGGGGGGACCTCCAGCCCCCCGGGGGCTCCCTGCGCCTCCTCTGCCGAGGGGCTGGGTTTGATTTCGGTGGTTCTGATCTGCACTGGATCCGCCAGAGCCCTGGGCAGGGGCTGCAATGCGTGGCCGCCATCGACAGCCACGGTGGCACCGACTACGCGCCGTCACTGCGGGGCCGGGTCGCGATCTCCAGGGACAACGGGCAGAGCTCCATGTCCCTGACTGTGAACAACCTCAAGGACGAGGATCCCAGATCCTGTTTCTGCGCCAAGGAGTCCAGCACTAACATTGCTGCTGGTGCCCTTGAATTCATTGACCCGTGCCCATCCCTGTGTCCCCACCTGTCCCCATTGTTCAGGTCCTTCCGTCCGAACCATTACCCCATCCCTGACCCCCACCGACCCAAATCTGGCCCATTTTCCCAAATCTTCAGCATTTGCACCCAGGTTTGGTGACCTTGGCTGAGACTTGTAGCCAGGAGCTGAGGTTTGGGGTCAAGAGCTGAGATTGGGGCAGAGCCAGCTCAGAGCTGGGACACGGGGACAGGACTGGGGTCAGGGGCTGGGGATTCGGGGAAGGGTCTGGGGAACGGGGACAGGTGGGGACAAAGAGATGGGGAGGGGGTCAAAAGGATAACCAGCAGCAGCCCAACTACCAGCACAAGCACATTTGGCACAGAAATAGGATCCGGAATCCTCGTCCTTGAGGTTGTTCATGGTCAGCGTCACCGAGCTCTGCCCGTTGTCCCTGGAGATCGTGAACCGGCCCTTGACCGAATCTGCGTAGCCAGTCCAACCAGCATTGTTGGTGATCCCAGCGACGTACTCCAGCCCCTGCCCGGGTCTCTGTCGATACCAGCCCATCCCAAAACTGCCGAAACTGAACCCGGACCCTCGGCAGAGAAGGCGCAGGGACCCCCCGGGGGGCTGGAGGTCCCCCCGGCACTCCAGCAGGGTCACGGCTGCCCGGAGCCCTGCGGGACAAAGGGGAGATGGGGATGAGGCCGAAGCTCAACCCTTAACCCAAATCCTGACTCTGGGCCCCAGATTGGGACCCTTGGAGTTCATCATCCTCCTCCCAGGTGAGTCCCTTCCGTTTTTACAGCTGACACTGCCACCCAGTCATGCCCTCAGCCAATCAGGTTTCTCATCCCCATCTCCCCTTTGTCCCGCGGGGCTCCGGGCTGCCGTGACCCTGCTGGAGTGCGGGGGGGACCTCCAGCCCCCCGGAGGGTCCCTGACGTTGCTGTGCCAAGGGTCTGGGTTCAGTTTTGGGGGTCACTCCATGCAATGGATCCGCCAGAGCCCCGGGCAGGCGCTGGAATGGGTCGCAGGGATCCACAGCTCTGGGGGTTACACCTACTACGCGCCGTCGGTCAAGGGCCGGGTCAGGACCTCCAGGGACAACGGGCAGAGCTTCACAGCCCTGACCATGATCGACCTGCAGGACGAGGATTCCGGATCCTATTTCTGTGCCAAAGCCGCTGGGGCGGATGGGGATGACCATGATGCCAATGCTATTAACTCCACCCCTACTTTTGTATCCCCAAATGTCCCCAAACCGCAGACCCTTCCTCAATCCCTGGCCTCATCCCCACTCTCGGTGACTGAATTCGTGTCCACAGCCCCGGGCCCAGCGCTGATCTTTGGGGCAGAGTTTGGGGGAAGATCAGCGGCCAAGGGTTGGGGTTTGGGGCCGGAGAGGGGAAAGGGAAATGGAGAAATGGTCACGGGCTGGGTCAGGGGCTGGGAGGTTGGGAAGGGTCTGGGGAACTGGGACAGGGCGGACGCAGTGATGGGGAAGAGGTCAATACAGCAGGGATCGTTGTCACAAGCACAACCAGCAAAACCCTTGGCACAGAAATAGGTGGCAGAATCCTCGTCCTTGAGGTTGTTCATGGTCAGCGTCACCGAGCTCTGCCCATTGTCCCTGGAGATCGTGAACCGACCCTTGACCGATGGCGCGTAGGAGATGTAGGAACCATCGCTGCAGATGCCTGCGAGCCACTCCAGCCACTGCCCGGGTCTCTGGCGCACCCAGCTCAATGGGTAACTCCTGAAATCGAACCCGGAGCCTCGGCAGAGGAGGCGCAGGGACCCCCCGGTGGGCTGGAGGTCCCCCCCGCACTCCAGCAGGGTCACGGTCACCTGAAGCCCTGCGGGACAAAGGGGAGAGGGGGATGAGGAGACGCATTGGTTATGGACCCAAAGTGGGCACCGCCATGCCAGAAAAAGAGTGTGGGATCCACCTGGGAGGGCCAGCAGGAGCTGCAGGAGGAGGATGGGGAGGTCCCAGGGTCCCAATTTGGGGCCATCATCAGGGTCTGCAGGCAAGAATCAACATTTGGGTGGATTCGTTCCCTCCTCCCCATCTCCCCTTTGTCCCGCAGGGCTCCGGGCGTCCGTGACCCTGCTGGAGTGCGGGGGGGACCTCCTGCCCCACGGGGGTTCCCTGCACCTCCTCTGCCGAGGGTCGGGATTCAGTTTTGGGAGTCTTGCCCTACAATGGGCCTGACAGAGACCCGGGCAGGGGCTGGAGTTCGTCGCCTACATCCGCAGTGGTGGCAGCACCTGGTAGGCGGATTCGGTCAAGGGCCGGTTCATGATCGCCAGGGACAACGGGCAGAGTCTGATGACGCCGACCATGACCAACCTCAAGGTCGAGGATTCCGCTCTTTATTTCTGTGCCAAAAATTGGGATGATTGTTGTGCTCCTGCTGCTGGTGAGGATATTGATTGTGGTGATGTTGGTCATGGTGGTTTTGGCCCTGCTCCCATTTGGACTCCCCCCTGTCCTCAAACCCAGACCCTTTCTCCAAAACCTCAGCCCTTGACACTTGTGACCATCGGCCTGAGAATCCCTATGGGGCAGCCCAAAATCTGCAACCCTGTCCCCAAACCAAAGCTGCGGGCATTAAATCTTGAGGATTCAGCACAAAAATTGGCAACAAGGGTAAAGGGGTGGGGCCGAGAGTTTGGAGTTTGGGGGAGAATGGGGGAGATTTGGGACAGAGCCAGTTCAGGGCTGGGACACGGGGACAGGAATGGGGTCAGGGGCTGGGGACTGGGGGAAGGGTCTGGGGAACGGGGACAGGGGGGACATAGAAATGGGTGCAGGGTCTATACAATAGGCACCAGTATAACCAGCACAGCAAGCAGCACCCTTGGCACAGAAATAGGATCCGGAATCCTCGTCCTTGAGGTTGTTCATGGTCAGCGTCACCGAGCTCTGCCCATTGTCCCTGGAGATCCTGAACCGGCCCTGCACTGATGGCGCGTAGCCGGTGCTACGACCATTGTAGCTGATACTGGCAATGTATTCCAGCCCCTTCCCGGGCCTCTGGCGCATCCATCCCATTGCAACACTCCCAAAACTGAACCCAGACCATCGGCAGAGGAGGCACACGGAACCCTGGGGGGCTGGAGGTCCCCCCCGCACCCCAGTAGGGTCACGGCTGCCCGGAGCCCTGCGGGACAAAAGGGAGATGGGGATGGGAAATCTGATTGGCTGTGGACCCGAAGTGAACATGGCCATGCCAGAAAAAGTGTGTGAGACCCATCTGGGAGAGGCAGCAGGAGCAAAACAACCAGGATGGGATGGTCCATGGTTCACAGTTTGGGGCCAAGGGTCAGGATTTGGGTCAAGGGTTGAGCTTTGGCCTCATCCCCATCTCCCCTTTGTCCCGCAGGGCTCCGGGCGGCTGTGACCCTGCTGGAGTGCGGGGGGAACCTCCAGCCCCCCGGGAGATCCCTGACGTTGCTGTGCCAAACATCTGGCTTCAATTTCACAAAATCTGCAATGTTCTGGATCCGCCAGAGACCCGGGCAGGGGCTGGAATTCATGACGGGGATCAACGGCGATGGTTCCACCCCCAGATACACACCATCGGTGCAGGGCCGGGTCAGGATCTCCAGGGACAACGGGCAGAGCTCGTTGACGCTGACCATGAACAACCTGAAGGACGAGGATTCCGGATCCTATTGCTGTGCCAAAGACGCCTATGATGGTTGGGGTTGGGAGGCTCATGCTGCTGGTTCTAATTTTGGTCCCGTCCCCATCCCCGTTCCCCAGGTCCTTCCATCCTACCTTTGACCACATTGTTGACCCGCACAGACCCAAATCTGGACCATTTTTCACAAATCTTGACCATTTGCACTGAGGGTTCAGAGCCTTGGTTGAGCCTTGGAGCCAAGGGCTGAGGTGTGGCGCCAAGAGCCAAGATTTGGGGCAGAACCAGCTGAGTTTGGAGCCAATGGTCACAAGTGAACCCTGCTGAGATCTGGGGCACACAGGGCAGAGTATTGGGGATGAACCTTTGAGAATTATTTCAAAATCTGAAAGCGCCATGGAAATGTGTGAGGTGAGACAATGATTGGGGAGATAGGGGAAAATGGTCAAGATTTGTTGCCAGCACTAAAGATTTGGGAGTAGAATGTGGGGTTTTGGGATGTTTGTGGGCACAGTATCGAGGAGGGGCCACCACTGGCATCGTCATCATACCAGCAACAATATTAGGACCACAACCACTGCTGTAACATTTGGCACAGAAATAGGATCCGGAATCCTCGTCCTTGAGGTTGTTCACGGTCAGCGTCACCGAGCTCTGCCCGTTGTCCCTGGAGATCGTGACTCGGCCCTTGACTGAATCCGCGTAGCCAGAGTTGCCACCATCGTTCCTGATCCACGCGAGCCATTCCAGCCCCTGCCCGGGTCTCTGGCGAACCCAGAACATGTCGTAGCTCCCAAAACTGAACCCGGACCCTCGGCAGAGGAGGCGAAGGGACCCCTCGGGGGGCTGGAGGTCCCCCCCCCCCGCACTCCAACAGGGTCACAGCCACCCGGAGCCCTGTGAGACAAATGGGAGATGGAGATGAGAAACCTGATTGGTCCAGAAGGGGAAAAGGGGCGTGGCTTGAGGAAAAAAGGTGTGGAACCCTCCTGGGAAGGGCAGCAGGATCAGCAGGGTCAGGAGCCGGAGGGAGCTCAAAGCCGTGGCCGGGATGTGCCCGGGTTGGGGTCCCGGGGGGAATTGGGGGTTGTTAACAGTGTATTAACTGTGTAATCAATGCAGAATGCTCAGGATGAGGTGTCTAAGAAATTAAAGAATTGATTGGGGTTAATTGCAGGGTTTGAGGCATGTTGAGATATGGAAATCTCTGGTGGGGTTTTGAGACCAAACCAGGGGAGTTTTAAGAGAAATTGGTGAAGGTTTCGGGATGGGCTCCGGGCGGCCGTGACCCTGCTGGAGTGCAGGGGGGACCTCCAGCCCCCCGGGGGGTCCCTGCGCCTCCTCTGACGAGGGTCCGGGTTCGATTTCGGGAGTTATGGAATGTTCTGGATGCGTCAGAGACCCGGGAATGCGCTGGAGTGGGTCGCGGGGATCTACGGTAATGGTGGTTAAACGGCCTACACACCATCAGTCAAGGGCCAGTTCACGATCTTCAGGGACAACGGGCAGAGCTCGGTGATGCTGACCATGAACAACCTCAAGGATGACGATTCCGCTGTTTATTTCTTTCCCAAATGTTACAGGAGTGGTTTTGGTGGTGATGCTGCTGCTCATGGTGTTGATGGTGGTTGTGTTCCCAAGCCCTCTCCTCTCTCTTCCCAAATAACTCAGAATTCTCTGATCCTTCCCCAAAATCCTGGCTCTTTTTCTCACATCTCAGATATTTTCCCCCACACTCCACCATCACTTCCCCAATTCCCAACTTCCCAACAATTTTGCCCATTTCTCCCCAGTCTGGCCCTTCCCCTCCGTCCCTGTGTGCAACAGGGATCACGCCAGGGCCCTTTGCACACAAAGCTTTTTGTGCAGCCGGCGCTCTGCCGCAGCGCCCCGAGGCTGAGCTGCCCTCTGCCAAACACAGATGTTCACAGTGACCAAAACCAGGAACTTTCTGTTTCCTTTCCTGCCCCGGCCGGGCCCTGGCAGCTGCCGGGGAGGAAGTGGGGGGAGGCTGCGAAGCACCAAAATCGCGGCCTCTTCTCCTCCCTCCCTCCCTTTGTCCCTCCTGGGGCTTCACTTCTCCCTCAGCGGCCGCGGTGTCTGGTGCTGCTCCTTGGGGCTGGGCTGGAATCCTCTCTGGGATTTCTGGTCATGGTGATGATGCTGGTGGTGGCACCAAACCCCCATTCCTGGTTCCCCAAATGTTCCAATATCTCCAACTCCTGCCCCAAATCCCAACCCTTGACCCCATTCTTGACCTTCTCCCCAGTGTCCACCATCATTGCCCCAACATTCAATTTTCCCCCAGTTTTTCCCATTTCACCCAAACCTCCCCCAGCTCCCCAGGACCTGATTGGAGGAGGCCTGACCTGCAGGCCAGGGGTGAAGGTTTGGGGCCAATGGTTGAGTTTTGGGGCAGGAGCAAGGCAGGGTTTGGGGTCAGTGCTGACCATTGGGGCAAATGGGGGAGATTTGGGACAAAGGGTGAAGTGCTGGGGTTTGGGGGGAGGATCTGGGTTTGGGGACAGGGGGGGAACTTAAGGATGGGGACTCAGAAAAAACTACCATGACCAACATCACCACAACCAATATCGTCACCAGCAGCAGGAGCACAACAATCATCCCAATTTTTGGAACAGAAATAAACAGCGGAATCCTCGACCTTGTGGTTGGCGATGGTCAGCGTCATCAGACTCTGCCCGTTGTCCCTGGCGATCATGAACCGGCCCTTGACCGATGGCGCGTACCACGTGCTGCCACCGTTGCGGTGTAGGTGTCGAATTCCAGCCCCTGCCCGGGTCTCTGACGGACCCATTGTAGGGCAAAACTCCCAAAACTGAACCCAGACCCTTGGCACAGCAACGTCAGGGATCCCCCGGGGGGCTGGAGGCCCCCCCCGCACTCCAGTAGGGTCACGGCCGCCCGGAGCCTTGCGGGAAAAAGGCGAGATGGGGATGAGAAACCTGATTGGTCGAGAGTCCCCAAGACATCCTGGCCAGTTGGAAAAATATACAGGATCCATTCTGGAGGGTGACCAGGATCAGGAAGAGAATTACAAAGGGTCGTCCCAGTTTGGGGCCAAGGGTCAGGATTTGGGTCAATGTTGAGCATTGGCCCCATCCCCATCTCCCCTTTGTCCCGCAGGGCTCCGGGAGGCCGTGACCCTGCTGGAGTGTGGGGGGGACCTCCAGCCCCCCGGGGGGGCCCTGACTGTGCAGTGCTGCACCTCTGGGTTCGATTTTGGGAGTCAGCCTATGAGCTGGGTCCGTCAGAGACCCGGGCAGGGGCTGGAGTGGCTCGTGGGGATCAGCACTGGTGGCAGCACATGCTATGCGCCATCGGTCCAGGGCCGGGTCACGATCTCCAGGGACAAAGGGCAGAGCTCGGTGACGCTGACCATGAACAACCTCAAGGACGAGGATTCCGGATCCTATTTCTGTGCCAAACGTGCTACTAGTGGTTGTTGTAGTCCTGGTGCTTACAGTGAAGATGACAGTTGTGGATCCACCCCCCTCTCAGTGTCCCCCCCTGCCCCCAATCTGAGACCCACGCCCCAAACGTCGGATCTTCACCCTTTGTTCCAATTTTGCCCCAATGATCAGCACTGACCCCAAACCCTCCCCTGCTCCTGCCCCAAAACTCAACCATTGGCCCCAAACCTTCCCCCCTGGGCTCCAGGTCAGGCCTCCTCCAATGAGGGCCTCGGAAACTTGGAGATATTTGCATTAAATGGGCAAAATTGTGAGAAAGCCGAGAGTTGGGGCAGCAGGGGCCAAGTTTGAGGGAAAATATTGAGCATTTGAAGAGAAAAGCTGGGCACTGGAGGAAGGATCACTGGGAATGGAGACATCTGGTGACCATCATGGAGGGCGGGACCACTGCCGGAATTGTCAATACAAGCAGCAGAACCATAAGTGTAACCACTCTAAGCATGTTTGGCACAGAAATAGGATCCGGAATCCTCGTCCTTGAGGTTGTTCATGGTCAGCGTCACCGAGCTCTGCCCGTTGTCCCTGGAGATCGTGACCCGGCCCTTGACCGATGGTGCATAGCATTTGCTGCCACCAGTGCTGATCCCCGCGAGCCACTCCAGCACCTGCCCGGGTCTCCGGCGCACCCAGAGCATGTCGTAGTTCCCAAAACTGAACCCAGACCCTGGGCAGAGGACGCACAGGGACCCCTCGGGGGGCTGGAGGTCCCCCCCGCACTCCAGCGGGGTCACGGGCTGCCCAGAGCCCTGCGGGACAAAAGGGGAGATGGGGATGAGAAACCTGATTGGCTGAGGGCCTCAAAGTGGGCAAGGCCAGCTAGAAAAAGGAGGAGGATCCACCTGTGAGGAGGATGATGAGCTCCATGGGTCCCAATTTCGGGCCCAGAGTCAGGATTTGGGTCAAGGGTTGACCTTTGGCCTCATCCCCATCTCCCCTTTGTCCTGCAGGGCTCCGGGCGGCCGTGACCCTGCTGGAGTGTGGGGGGGACCTCCAGCCCCCTGGGGGGTCCCTGACGTTGCTGTGCCGCACATCTGGGTTTGATTTCGGGAATTTTGGAATGATCTGGATCCGTCAGAGACCCAGGCAGACACTGGAATACATCGCCAGCATCAGCAGCAGTGGTGGCGGCACCGGCTACGCGCCATCGGTCAAGGGCCGGTTCAGGATCTCCAGGGACAACGGGCAGAGCTCGGTGACGCTGACCATGAACAACCTCAAGGACGAGGATTCCGCCGTTTATTTCTGCACAAAACGTGCCAATAGTAGTTACGGTTCTGAGAGTGCTGCTGCTATTGGGAGCAGCACCGTCAGTGTTCCCACCGCCATGGTTTTGACCAACTGTCTCCACAGTGACCCTTCCACCAAATCCCAGCTCCTGACCCCATTCCTTTCCCCGTGCCCCAACCCTGCCCTGGCTCTGCCCCACATTCGCAGCTCCTGGCCCCACACCTCAGCTCCGGGCCTACTCGGGGCCATTTTGGCTTCTTGGCTCGCCCCGGCCCCTCTGCCAGGATTCCTGGGCTGAACTCGCCCAGCTCTGCCCAAATCTGCGCTGCTGGCCCCGAGCAGCCACCACTCACAAAAATCCCCAATTCTGATCCAAATCAGGGCCCCGGGCCTCAAACCCTTAACTTCAGAGCAAAGTTTTGGGGCACATAGAGGAGATTTGGGGTCAGGAGCTGTAGTTTGGGACAGCGGGTTAGAACTGGGGCCGAGGCAGAGCAAGGTTGGGATCAATGGTCAAGGGCTGGGTGTGAGCTGGGGGTTTGGGGGAAGGGTCTGGGCAACGGGGACAGGGGGGGCCATGGGGATGGGGACACAACCATCATCATCTTAATTAGCAACAGCACCACCATCACCAGTACCAGCAGATTTTCCGCAAAAATAAACGGAGGAATCCTCGTCCTTGAGGTTATTCATAGTCAGCGTCACCGAGCTCTGCCCGTTGTCCCTGGAGATCGTGACCCTGCCGTTCGCTGAATCCGCTTAGCCGGAGTTGCCACCATCATTCCTGATCCACGCGAGCCATTCCAAGCCCTGCATGGGTCTCTGGTGCACCGAGAACATGTCGTAGCTTCCGAAACAGAACCCGGACCCTCGGCAGAGGAGGCGCAGGGACCCCCCGAGGGGCTGGAGATCCCCCCCGCACTCCAGCAGGGTCACAGCTGCCCGGAGCCCTGCGGGACAACGGGGAGATGGGGATGAGGTCAAAGCTCAACCCTTGACCCAAACCCTGACTCTGGGCCCGAAACTGGACCCTTTGGACCACCCCATCCTAGTTGTCCTGCTCCGGCTGCCCCTCTAAGGTGGGTCCTGCCCGATTTTCCAAGTTTGACACATCCACTTTGAGGCCCTCAGCCAATCAGGTTTCCCATCCCCATCACTCCTTTGTCCCGCAGGGCTCCGGTTGGCCGTGACCCTGCTGGAGCGCATGGGGGCCCTCCAGCCCCCCGGGGGGTCCCTGCTCCTCCTCTGCCGAGAGTCCGGGTTCGGTTTCGGCAGTTTTGAAATGGAATGGGCTCGACAGAGGCCCTGGAAGGGGCTGGAATGGGTCGCGGGGATCAGGTACGATGGTGCTTACACCGAGTACACGCCATCATTCAAGGGCCGGTTCACGATCTCCAGGGACAACGGGCAGAGCTCGGTGACGCTGACCAAGAACAACCTCAAGGACGAGGATTCCGCTGTTTATTTCTGTGCCAAACGCACTTATGGTGATAATTGGGCCTTTGCTGATGCTTATCATTTTGTCCCCGACCCCGTGCCCTTGCTCCCCTCCTGTCCCCATTCCCCTGGCCCTTCCCACAAACCCCAAGCCCTGACCCTGTTCCTGTCCCCTTGTCCCAACCCTGATAAGACCCAGATATCTGATTTGGGCTGATCCCCGAGCCATGCAGGCCAATCTGGATAAATCTTGGAGACAGAGTGCCCCAACACCCAATCAGCTCAGAGATGCCACCATCTCAGCAAGCTCAGTGATTTCAGCTCTTTAGTGATTCTCAGCTCCCTCAGGATTTCAGCTATTTAGTGATTTCTGCTCTTTCGTGATTATCAACTCTCTCAGGATTTCAGCTCTTTCGTGATTCTCAGCTCTCAGGATTCCAGCTCTTTGCTCATACGCTGGGGCGCCTTTGGCTGGGTCAGAAACAGACGGACAGAGGGGAGCAGGAGAGGTCCTAGTAGTTCCACAGCCATGGTTCATTGAGGGATCTGTGAGGGGTTGCAGTGACAGCTCTTCTCCTGTCAGATGGGCTAAACCAGCCCATTTTATAGGGTACAGGGGGATCCAAACGTGTCCAACAGCAAGGGTAAGGGAGAAGTCACCAATGGGGTTACAGAGAGAAGCTCTAGTGTGAGAGGCAGAAGACAGGAGATCATTTTGCTGTTCCATCATGACTGACCAGTTCCAGCTGTTACGTCTCAATCCTGCATGGAGCTCTCGCAATCTCTGTGGACTCTGCTAAAGGACATGAGGTCAACACGATAGGCAACAGTCTCCCAGCCAGTACCATCATCAACAGATTGGCGCAGAAATAGGATCCGGAATCCTTGACCTTGAGGTTGTTCATGGTCAGCGTCACCGAGCACTGCCTGTGGTCCCTGGAGATTGTGAACCGGCCCTTGACAGACGGCGCGTAGGCAGTGGTGCCACCACTGGTGGTCCCTGCGAGCCACTCCAGCGCCTGTCGGAGTCTCTGGCAGATCCAGAGCATGGTGGAACTGCCAAAACTGAACCCGGACCCTCGGCAGAGGAGGCGCAGGGACCCCCCACGGGGCTGGAGTCCCCCCCTGCACTCCAGCAAGGTCACGGCCACCCGGAGCCCTGTGGGAAAAAGGGGAGATGGGGATGGGAAACCTGATTGGTCAAGAGTGCCCAAATTCACATGGCATGCTTCAAAAATGGGGCAGGACTCACATGGGTGGAGGATGATGAACTCCATGGTTCCCAGTTTAGGGCCCAGAGTCAGGATTTGGGTCAAGGGTTGAGCTTTGGCCCCATCCCCATCTCCCCTTTGTCCCGCAGGGCTCCGGGCGGCCGTGACCCTGCTGGAGTGCGGGGGGGACCTATAGCCCCTCCGGGGGTTCCCTGATGTTGCTGTGCCGTGCATCTGGGTTTGATTTTTGCAGTTTTGGGATGGGCTGGATGCGCCAGAGACCCGGGCAGGGGCTGGAATACATCGCCAGTATCAGCAACACTGGTGGTTGCACCTACTACACGCCATCGGTCAAGGGCCGGTTCAGGATCTCCAGGGACAACGGGCAGAGCTCGGTGACGCTGACCATGAACAACCTCAAGGACGAGGATTCCGCCATTTATTTCTGCACCAAATGCGCTAGTAGTAGTTACGGTGGTAGTGTTGCTGCTTTTAGTGACGATTCCGGCAGTGGCCCCAGCCCTAGAATGGTCACCAGATGTCTCCACTCCCAGTGATCCTTCCTCCAGAGCCCAGCTTTTCTCCACAAGTGTTAAAGAGTTTCCCCCAAACTCCGCCCCTGCTGCCTACACCCTACACTTTCCCCCAGTTTTGCCCATTTCACCAAAATCTCCCCCAGCTCCCGGGCCCTGATTGGAGGAGGCCTGAACTGGAGGCCAGGGGTGAAGGTTTGGGGCCAATGGTTGAGTTTTGGGGCAGGAGCAGGGGAGGGTTTGGGGTCAGTGCTGACCATTGGTGCAAATGGGGACAAAGGGTCAAGGTCTGAGTCAATGGGTGAGGTTTGGGAGAATGATCAGAGGGTTGGGGAAACCTGGGGACCCAACAACAAAGGCCGGCCTGAAACCAGCACCAATACCATAAGCTTCGTAATTACAACCAGGAAAATAACACTTCGCACAGAAATAGATGACAGAATCCTCATCCTTGAGGTTGCTCATGGTCAGCGTCACCGAGCTCTGCCCGTTGTCCCTGGAGATCCTGAACCGGCCCTGCACTCATGGCGCATAGTAGGGGTCAGCAGAGGTGCTGATCCCCGCGAGCCACTCCAGCCCCTGCCTGGGTCTCTGTCAGACTCAGAGCAGGTCAGAACTGCCGAAACTGAACCCGGACCCTCGGCACAGCAACATCAGGGACCCCCCAGGGGGCTGGAGGTCCCCCCCGCACTCCAGCAGGGTCACGGCCACCTGGAGCCCTGCAGGACAAAGGGGAGATGGGGATGAGGCCAAAGATCAACCCTTGACCCAAATCCTGACCCTTGGCCCCAAACTGTGAACCATGGACCATCCCATCCTGGTTATTTTGCCCCTGCTGCCTCTCCAAGTTGGGTCCCACACGCTTTTTCTGGCATGGCCAGGTTCCCTTCGGGTCCGCAGCCAATCAGGTTTCCCATCCCCATCTCCCCTTTGTTCTGCAGGGCTCTGGGCAGCCGTGACCCTGCTGGAGTGCAGGGGGGACCTCCAGTCCCCCAGGGGGTCCCTGCGCCTCCTCTGCCGAGGGTTCGGGTTCAGTTTCGGCAGTTTTCCATGCAGTGGTTCCGCCAGAGAAACGGGCAGGGGCTGGAGTGGGTCGCTGGGATCAGGAACGATGGTTCGAGCACCGGGTACGCGGATTCAGTCCAGGGCCGGTTCAGGATCTCCAGGGACAACGGGCAGAGCTCGGTGATGCTGACCATGAACAACCTCAAGGACGAGGATTCCGGATCCTATTTCTGTGCCAAACGTGCTTATGCTGATAATTGGGGCCCTCCTGCTATTTGTAAATGCACCATTGGTGGATCCATCCCCATCGCTGTGTCCCCACCTGTCCCCAAAGGCGAAGACCCTTCCCCCACACCCCCGTCCCATCATCTGACCCTTTGTCCCAGACCTGCCCCATTTCCACCCATGGTGACCAAAGACGCCAAACCCCGTCTGGTGGTGCCCCAAACCCAACTGAGTTGGTGCAAGAATTTGCCAAATTTCACCCAAAATCTCAGCCCTTTGGGCACTTTTGGGGGACCAGGATGAGATTTGGGGCTGACAGTTGAGTTTGGGGCCAGAGCCAGGGGAGGGTCTGTGGCCAATGGGCAGCATTGGGGCAACGGGGGCGAGGTTGGGACAAAGGGTCAGGGTGAAGGTTTGGGGCCAATGGTTGAGTTTTGGGGCAGAAACAGGCGAGGGTTTGGGGTCAGTGCTGACCATTGATGCAAATAGGGACAAAGGGTCAAGATCTGAGACAAGAGGTGAGGTTTGGGACGAAAATCGAAAATTTGGAGATCCAATGATAGGACAGGAGCAAAATCTAGAAGTTTGACGCTACCAACAGCATTGTCACCATGATTAGCAACAGCCCAACAACCGGCACAAAAAGCCCTGGCACAGAAATAGGATCCGGAATCCTCGTCCTTGAGGTTGTTCATGGTCAGCGTCACCGAGCTCTGCCCGTTGTCCCTGGAGATCCTGAACCGACCCTTGACCGATGGTGCGTAGCAGATGTTTCCACCAGTGTTGGTGATCCCCGCGAGCAACTCCAGCCCCTGCCCGGGTCTCTGGCGGATCCAGCCCAGCCCAAATTGGCCAAAACTGAACCCGGACCCTCGGCAGAGGAGGCGCAGGGACCCTCCGGGGGGCTGGAGGTCCCCCCCGCACTCCAGCAGGGTCACGGCCACCCGGAGCCCTGTGGGACAAAGGGGAGATGGGGATGAGAAACCTGATTGGTAAAGAGTGCCCAACTTTGCATGGCATGCTTCAAAAATAGGACAGGACCCACCTGGCAGGAGGATGATGAACTCCAAGGGTCCCAATTTGGGCCAAGGGTTAGGATTTGGGTCAAGGGTTGAGCTTTGGCCTCATCCCCATCTCCCCTTATTCCCGCAGGGCTCCGGGCGGCCGTGACCCTGCTGGAGTGCGGGGGGGACCTCCAGCCCCCCCGGGGTTCCCTGCGCCTCCTCTGCCGAGGGGCCGGGTTCGATTTTGGCAGTTTTGGGCTGGGCTGGATGCACCAGAGACCCGGGCAGGGGCTGGAGTGGCTTGCAGGGATCAACAGCAGTGGCAGGACCTACTACGTGCCGTCAATCAAGGGCCGGTTCATGATCTCGAGGGACAACGGGCAGAGCTCCGTGACGCTGATCATGAACAACCTCAAGGACGAGGATTCCGGA